CTTACCGCCTCCAGAACCCCTGCTTCTGACTGCCCCATGCCACCCCATCCAACCCCCCCTCCTTCCTGACTGCCCCCCCATTCCCCACTCTCTGACCGCCCCAAACCCTATCCACACCCCCAACTGACCACCACCCCGAACTCCCCTGCCCTCTATCCAAGGCAAACACAGCCCAAAACAACGCTGTACACGCACACACTGGGCTTGGGGTTAAGGGGAGAGGCAAGAATTCAAACAATCTGGGTTCAGTTCCCAGTTCTGCCCCAAATTCTCCATGCAAACTTGAGCAAATTACTGTACTTCCACTCTCTGAGCTTCAGTTTCCCCATCTGTAAAATGGAGAGTCACCTCCCACCATTGGCCTATTTAGCCTTTGAGTTTTTTGTGGCAAGGACTGTCACTGTGGGCATGTCTACACTGCAGTTAGACACAGGCGGCTAGCCCGTGTCTGCTGACTTGGGCTCACACGGCTCAGGCTGCGGAGCTGTTTAATGGTGCTGTAGATGTTCCGGCTTGGGCTGGAGCCAAATGTCTGGCACCCTCCCATCTCGCAGGGTTCTATAGCCTGGCTCCAGCCAGAGCCCAGACATCTACACTGCAATTAAACAGCCCCTTCGCCTGAGCCCTGTGAGCCTGTGTCAGCTGCCATGGGCCAGCTGGGGGGTTTTAATGGCATTGTAGACATACCCTTGGTGTCTGTTCAGCACCTGTCACTATGGGGACTCTGATCTTGGTCAGTGTCTGTGCAAAGCCCTGCACAACATGGGGCCTGATCTCAGTCAGGGGCTCTGCAACTCCTGGCATTACAGGATCCCTGATTTTGTTTGGGGTCCCTGCAGCACCTGGCAAAATGTTGGGCCAGGATCTTCATCAGGGTCTGTGCAGTGCCCAGTACAGTGGTGGGGCGTGATCTTGGTCGGGGTCAATGCAGTGCCAGGCCCAACGGGGACACAAATCTCAGTTGGGGGTTCTGCAGCACCTGGCGGAACAGGGCCCAGATCTCACTTGGGGTCTGAACAGCACCTGTCACAACAGTGGGGTCTGACCTCACTCAGGGTCTCTGCGGCGCCCGGCAGAACAGGGCCCAGATCTCACTCGGGGTCTCCGCGGCGCCCCGCAGAACGGGGCCCAGATCTCACTCGGGGTCTCCGCTGCGCCCAGCGGAACGGGGCCCAGATCTCACTCGGGGTCTCCGCTGCGCCCAGCGGAACGGGGCCCAGATCTCACTCGGGGTCTCTGCAGCACCTGGCACAATGGGAGCCTGATTTCATGCAGGGCCTGGCACAACAGGGGCCCAGAGCTCAGTCAGGGTCACTGTAGCACCCGGCACAAGAAGGTCCTGGCTCTCTGTAGGGGTCTGTGCAGTTCCTGGCACAACGAGTGCCCCAAACTCGGTCAGGGTTTGTGCAGTGCCCGTCCCACTGGGGCACCTGATCTCAGGCAAGGCCTGGGCCACGCTCAGGATGATAATAGCCCTGATGTTAGTCAGACACCCTGGGAGAAAAGCGGGAAGATGTTTAAGAATTTGATATCAGAATTTCAGAACTGAGGAGAAAATGGGGCACAAACTAAATATTTGCCAATATAACAGAGAAGCACCAACATCTGGGGAGATTTTATGTCACCATTCAACAGTTCAAGAGAAAAGAAGAGACATTTGAGGGGATTATACAGTGATATTCAAACAACAGAACGGGATGGATTCTTCTTGCCTCACATTCACATGGCCGGCAGGGAGCCCTGGGTGATGTGGCTTTCACAGAGGAAAGGAGTGGGGCTGGAGTCAGAAGGTCACCGGCTGTGGGGAGAGCTGGCAGTGGGGTCTGGGAATGTGACTAGCAGGCGGTGGGGGGGCTGCTGGGTGGGGGAGTGGGGGAAGTAGCTGGGACTGGGAAACCTGGGGCTGTTCAGTCTCCATGGGGGATGCTTGCTCCTCCCTTCCTCTCTTGGGCCTTTCCATGCCCTGTTGCCAGCAGAGGGAGGCCCCCCAGCCCAGCGCATCCCTGTCTCAGGGCTCTCCCAGCGCCTGCCCATTTCAGAAATCACTCAGGGGACCGATTTCCCTCCTAAACAAAAAGAACAGGAGTACTTGTGGCACCTTAGAGACTAACAAATTTATTAGAGCATAAGCCCGCGGGGATGCATACCAAAGAAGTGGGCTGTAGTCCACGAAAGCTTATGCTCTAATAAATTTGTTA